AAGTTACACCCTAGGTTACATAAATAATTTTCATGGTGGTTTTTCACTGTTCAACGCACAATGTTAATTCTTCTCCATGAATGGAAGAAAACTTTTCTGATGCGTGGCGTATGAGCGACACATGCAGCAAGGGGTTTAATTACTTGTAGACAATTATAAAAAAAGAGAAGAAAAAAATTTATAAAACTGTTGTTTTAAGTGCGGAAAAGTGCACTGAACATATCAAACAAGAGCTGAGGGATGATTACAAATTTGTCCTTTTCCTAACGAACAAACTTGTAGTGGGTGGAAGCCCCGTGTGGGAAATAAATGATTCCCAGTTACTGAAGATTAGCAAAAGGGTAGCATAAGTTATCAATCGTTAAAGGACCGAAAAGAATTAGAAGTGTAATTAGAATTAGGGTTAAGAAAGGCTGATGAATGCGTCATAATAAGCGTTGTAATCACCTGAGGAAGAGTGAATGCAAGCAGAGAAGATTTGAAAATGTTTAAGTGAATGTACACGAGACTTTGAACCAAGGAAGATAAATTTGTGTAGTGGACAATGCTAAAGAGCCAAACTTAGAGAGGTGGGAAGGTAATCCTGGTCCACTCTCTAAATTGATAATCAAGCCCATTTTAACGGTATAGAAATGTTAATTATGGGAATCTGTACCTTAAGAAAAAGAAAAAAAATATTACACATAATGAGGCAATGACATATTTATTATTATGTATTGGTTGTAAGGTTTGGGAGACCGAGGAAGTTCATGTTTTAGGGGGGTCCACGAATATAATCACTTTTTTTCCCATCTACATTCAGTAGTAAAAGGGTTAAATGGTCAGGAATAAACACATGTTAAGAGAGAGGTAAAGGTTTTACAACTAAAAAGTGGCGTTAGGGAAGTTATAATGGTCCAGTCAGACTGAAGCATCATAATGTTAGCTATAGGATTGCGGTACGAAAGTTATGGTTAGCACTAAAATTTTTAAATGATCGACATTTTGGTTACAGGAAAGGTGATCGCAGTTAGGGTGAGAGCTTGGTGAATGGTATTATTAAGAGGAAAAATTCAAGAGGTTCTTTTACAATAAGTGAGCGGATGGGTATTGGGAAAACGATGAAAAAGTGAGAGTCGTTGTTGCAATGTAAAGAGAGAATGGGGAGGTTTGAGATTTTAAAAACATTTGTTTGAAATAAGAAAAAGTTTTGATGAGATTAACAAGTTAGAAGCCTAGAACAAATGGCTTGTCAGTTTAAAAATAGGAAGGAGAGTTATTAAATGGAGTAGAGGTATTGGAAGATGGAGAATAATTTAGGGAAATTTTTAAATGTTGAGGAGGAAGCTGTGATTCGTGTATAGGGCAAAGATATTTTGTAGGGGGAGGAAAGTTCAGTTTTGAGTTTTGGGGGAAGTTCGTGAGGCAATAGTAAATTAAAGGGGGTAAGGACCGGGGATTGATGGGATAAGATAAAATGTTAAAGCAGTGGGATATAGTTTTGGATTGGTTGGCAATTATTTAATAAATGTATGAAAGTAGGTACCTAGGGATGGCAGAGAGCATGCATAGTTTCCTTTTTTAAAAAAGGGAAAGGGGATAAAAGAGAGTCAAAAATTATAGGGGATAAGTCGTTGAGTGTACCTGGTAAAATGTAAAGGGAGAGTTATAATTGAAAGAAAAGAGTAAGAGGAAAAAAGGTAGCGAAAACAAGGAGGCTTTAGGAAAGGTTGGGGTTGGGGACCAGGGGTTTTCAGGAAACTATAAGTTAAAAGTATTTTGATAAGGGTAAAAAGGCTTTTTGGGATTTATGGATTTGGAAAAGGGGTATCAGGGGGGAAGGGGGGGGAATGTGGCAGATGTGCAATGTAGGTGTAGGAGGGAGGGTTCTGAAAGCAGTGAAAAGTTTTTACGAGGGTTGGGGTCAATTAGGTATTGGGAAAAGGGGAATTTTTTCCCAGTAAAAGTAGGCCTAGACAAGGGTGTGTATGTCACCCTGGTTGTTTAAATATTTATAGATGGGTTGTAAGAAAGTAAAAGCAGGGTCTTGGCAAGGGCTGGATTTTAAAAAATAAAGAATCCAAAACCAAAATGGGGGTTGTCACAGCTGCCTTTTCTGATGACATTGCCTTGGGGGATTCTGAGGAAATTGCAGAGATTTGGGGGATGAATTTTTGGGAGGGGGTGCAAAAAAAAAAATTTTAAAAGGTAAACGGAAAGAGTAAGGTTTATAATAAAAAAAGATTTGGGATGAAAGATTGAATATCAGATTGGAGGAGAGAGTTGGGGGAGGGGAAATATTCAATATTTGGGAGTGGACGTGTCAGCGGATGGGGCATGAAAGATGAGGGGAACATGAATTGATGAGGGAAAAAAAGTGAGTGGTGCCTTGGAGTTGTGGGGACAAAGAACTTTTTCCTTGGAAAAGAGGGAATGTAAAGAGAGATAGTTTTACCAACGCTCTTTTATGGTGTGAAACGGGTGATGAATGTTGCAGCGGAGAAGGCTGGAGGGAGTGGAATGCATTTTTGGCAAAGTGTGGGTGAATTAAAAACAGGAATTTGTATTTGGAAATTAGGAGGAGGTGCGGGATTTCCAAAAAAGTTTCCAAGGGTGAGGAAGGGGTTTTGAGGTGGTTCGGACATTTGAAGAATGGACGAAACAGAATGACTTAAGAGGTATCAGTCTGTAGTGGAAGGGGGGGCGGGGGGAGGGGGCGGGTAGGAAGGGTTGGGGGAGGGGGGAAAGGAGGTTTTGTGTGCGAGGGGCTTGGACTTCCACAGGGATCGTGACGTGTTTTATAGGAGTGAATGGGGACAAAAAGGTTTTTTTTGGGGGGGGGGGGGGGGGGGGGGGGGTTGGGGGGGGGGGGTGTTTTTTTTTTTTTTTTTTTTTTTTTTTTTTTTTTAAAATTTGGGGGGGGGTTTTTTTTTTTTTTTTTACCCTTTCCGGTTTTTGGGGTGTGAAAAAAAAAAAAATTTAAACCCCAATGGTTATGTTTTAGTGCGATTTTAAATTTATTTTCATTAAAATTTATTAAAAACTTTGGAAGAGGAAGATTTAAAAAGTTTTTTTCTTCCCCCCACGTTTAATTCCGTGGTTTAAAAAAAAATTTCTGGTGAATGTTCAGTGATAACAACCAAAGTTTTCCCCCTGTTGAAGAAAACTTTTCGAGGGTGGCTTTTGGGCCCACAAGGGTTTAAATCATGGAACAATTTTTTTTTGGAAATTGCTCCCCGCTGAACACAGCAGGAAAAAATGAGAAAACAAATTTAAGGGGGCTATACCCAAATTTTTTAAACCCCTTCATTTGTTTGGAAAAGCTAACCCACTTGTTTGAAAAAGTTCCTTAAAAAATTCCCATATTTTCACAATTCTCAACTTCAAAAACTGGGCCCTGAAAATCTAAAAAGCAGTTGAAACATAAAAGCTGATGAGCCTTACCCTCTCCTGTTAATTTGTACGCGGGTAAACAAGCCCAAGAAGCTTACAGAATTTCCACCCCCAGTACAACCATCATTTAGTACCAGAACCTCACCCTCCACCCAGGCAACCCAAAAGCCCCCCACCCCAGCCCAGTAGGGCCACAGAACCCCTCACCCTTTACAAAATTAATAAAATACCAAAAACCACAATTTTAAAGGGAAAAATATAAATTTTTAGCATCTGTACCTTAAGAAACAGAAAAAAAAAATATTAATATAAAAACTGACAAAAAAATATTAATTTTTTATTTTGTAAGATTTGTAGACCAAAAAAAGTTGCTTGGGATTTTGGAGGTCCGGAAAAAACCCATTTTTTCCACAGTTTTTCATTTATGTAACACGGTTTCACAACACTGTGTTTTCAGGGAAAGAACTACCATGTTACTTGAGATTTTTTCTGATACTGGGTCCCTTACCTTCGGGTTTTGTGGACTAGTTAAGGTCCAAGCAGACTGAAAACCCTCTGAAGTTTTAGTCCACTTTCGATTATCTGTATGAACTTTTATTCTTTAAAGCACTAATATTTTTACCGCTCATTCTCACGCGAAGGTGGGTCGCAGTTTTTTTGTATGAGTTGTTTCAAGGTATTATTAATTAGGGAATTTTTAAGGTTCTCTTTTCATGTGGACGGATGGAGCAACGATGCAACCCAAAAGCTGACTGATCTTTCTTCCTTTTAACACAGGAGCGGGTTTTGAAAAATTTAAACAATTTGTATTTTTACTTATTATTATTACAACCTCTCCTCATTTTAAAAAAGGGTTGTTCCAAAAACCACTTGGGGAAACAAACTTCATAAATCGCACCGCCCGGCACGTCTCACTCTTACAACATGCATGACTTACCAAGGAAGAATTCCGTTCCACTTACATAGGAGAGTACTGGTAGAAATGGAATCATCACACAAACAAATTCGCTTATACCCAACTCACAGAGAAAGATATTACTGAAATTGAAATAAATATTATCTTCCTACTTTCTCTCGCACTTGGTACACAGTACTACTGTGCTGTAACAGGTTTTTAAAAAAAGGCAAGCCAGGTCACCATCTGGAAAAGACCCTGGCTGGGACAAGACTGCCAAACCTACAACAACAACAACAAAAAAGGCAAAAGCATTCTATATGTAATTAAATTAATCACATTAGGAGCACACTGCCTATCAGTAACACTGTAGTCCTTAACCTCCAGTTTTGATCCTACTCTTCCCATTCAATTCAGCAAGGCAGGGTGTAGCAAAGAAGAAAACACATTCACCATCATTCATTCAATCATTTTCTTGCCAGAATTGTGCTAACATCACAATTCACACTACCCTCTGACATCAACATGCCTACCCCTCAAGAGTGCAGACACTGCTCTTTCCACCTCCAGGACTCAAGTCCTCAAGACTATAAATTCATTTTACGATACTGAGAAATGTAGTAATACTGTAGGCATATTTAGAGGACCTGCCTAGCACGAACCAGTAAAATTATTTAAGAATTATGTTTCTACCCTTAAATCTTAACACCACAGATTAACTTTTTATGATTACCTCTTTGAAGAAGCTCTCAACAGTTTTCTTGCCTCAGTCTTAAGCTGCTCTATGTATACTTCTGCAGAACTTGTACTGTCAGCGAGTGTACCTGCATGACCAATAGCATCCTTTGGCTGAGGCTGATAGTTCTGAGTAGCAGAGGAGTCATCAAGACTCTCTGCATCTGGTTCAACATCTGGTAGCATTGAGGATTTATACAGATTGATCTCTGGCTCCACTGTGACTTCCTCATTCAAGGTGACTTCCTTCTCCATGTTCTCCGAGAGCTGCTCGCTTAAATTACTGCATGCATCTCCATGAATGTCTTGTATAAGAGTTTCAATAGATTCTGAAGAATCTTCATAGCCACTTACAGCATTAATAATTTTATTTTTTCTCAACATGATCTGCGCCTTCATTATTAACCTCCTTTATATTTTCCAGACTATTTTTAAATTCAACATTTGTGGAAGATCCAATTGTTCGAGTCCTGAGTGGCACAGCGGCAGCAGTTACAATAAAACCTGCGCCGGTGGAAGTATCTTCATTGTCTGAGGTACCTTCTGGTGATTCCCTGCCGTCTTTATCGACGGTGAGTGGGCTTGACTTGTTGGAACTAACTTCGTGTACCTCAGTTGGAATGTGACTGTGTTGCTTTTGAGGTGATGTGGGTAGAGTTATCCTCGGTGTGGAGGTTCTTCGTCTCAGTTTCTGGAGTTCCCTGAATGAGAAGAAAACAAGAGATTAGAATGAATAATTGAGTGCGAGCAAGGTAATATTTTGTGAAGGGATTCAGGGAAAATGGTTAGTTGGACTTTAGTCCTGGAGGTGGGAAGTACAATGCCTGCACCCTAAAGGAGTAGTTTAGGATATCTGCTGTTTAAAGGGACATCTAAACTGTCATATCTGTGCACCCCTGGCAATGATAGTGTGAATGTCGGTGAAAAGTGTTTCTTTTTTCAGGTCACCCTGCCATGGTTGGTGATGGCCGTTGTGTCAAAAAAAAAAAAAACTGAGTAAATGAATGTTTCCTCTTTTCTGGGTTACCCTATGTTGGTGGGAGATCTACCTACCAGAAGGATGTTCCGGGGGTCAATGCGCCCACGACCCAGTCCATGACCAGATGGTCAGAGTTTTAAAAAAAATAAGTCTCAATACCATAGCTAGAGCAATTCACAACCCAGAGTTGAGAGAGGAAACCTCAGGCGATGCTTGGTGATGGTTTAAAATACAAACATAGCTATTTCCCTTACCTCTCCTGGGCCTCAAAACTACTTCTAATCTCATTTAATTCATCTTGTAGTTTCTCTATATCTGCCTCCAGTCGGGTGACCTGCTGCTGCGAGTTGTTCTCCGTCTGGGACGAGCATGACTTGAGCTGAGCTGCCGAGTGTCCGCTCTCCCGCAACAGCTGCACCAAGTTGGGTGGTCGACCAGTGTTTCAGACCCACATCGTCCCAGTGTTCAAAATCCTGCCGATTTGAAGCCAGAATTTATTTTCCGTAAAACATAGTACAGTTATAAACACAAGTTATTATAATACACAAGCTATAATGATAACACAAATTATCATAATATAACTTACTGCAACAATAGTACCATACTAACAGAGGAAAGTAAGGGAACCAGTATATACACGATAGGAGGGTAGGGACAGGACAGAGAGAGGAGGATAGTATTGGTGGAAGTAATGCCCTCCTCTGCATATATGGTAGACCCTCCATTAACACATATTCCTCTACACATTTTCTCCAATATGCTACTGCAAAACTGCGGCATATTGTCGACTGACACTTTGTAAAATCTGACTAACACAGTTCCACTTCTGAATGGGGAAAAAATTTGGAGTGCCTCAAGCTAGACCGTGGGATTTTTGCCCTCCATCTAGTGGCCTCTCCAGCAAGCTGATTGTGTGTCAAGCCATTGTCTTTGTGGGGAAGGTCTAGCTACCTCCCCAGCCACTCCATCCCACCTCTCGCATTTCAGTGCTCCATATATACGTGTTTCAAACAATTCCTAGATCTGTGTTTGTGAATCGGATACTCCTGATCTTTTCATTATCATATCTTGTATCTGCAGATTAACCATGGCACCCAAGAGGCATGCGAGTGAGGGAAAGAAGTGGCAAGATGAAGTTTAAGCGATCAGGATCAAGTCTTGGAGTTGAGAAGAAAATTAAGATATAAGACAAGCTGAAAAGTGGTGCACATGTGGTGGACATGGTGAGAACTTATGGGCTTAATGAAGCATCGGTTCGTACAATTAAAAAGAATGAGGCAAATATACGGCCTTGACAATAAAGCTTATTTCTTGGGTAGCATTGAAAATTGGGTTGGGCAAATGTTTTGTTAGTGGATGAAATTTTAAAGGACTGCCCAAGGGATGGGCCAACAGGCCTCCCGCAGTGTTCCTCCTTTCTTAAGTTCTATGTTCTTATGTTCTTATAAATAACCCAGGTTGTCACCTCCTGAAAAGAATGACACACAGATCACAACAGGTAAACAGAACAAAAAACTCACTGGAGTAGACTGAACAAAATACAAAAAAGGTGAACCACTGAATTTCAAACTTAATTTTGGAAAAAGCATTACAGTTCTATGGAAACAAAACACATATGCAGTATAAATGTGATCCTTTTTTTGACAACGTTTCACCCACACAGTGGGCTTTTTTCAAGTCACACACTTGATCTGTGTGTGACTTGAAAAAGCCCACTGTGTGGGTGAAACATTGTCAATAAAGGATCACATTAAACTGCATATGTGTTTATGTTTCCAGTGTGTCGGTATTTTATACCATTTATTTTCATTACAGTTCTATAAAACTGTGTGATGAGGAAGACTTGAACAAGAGTGTGTGTTTAGCAGTGGCCGGTTCCACAAGTTTAAGTTACACAGTAGGTTACATAACAAATTTTCTGGTGAAAGTGCTTCAGCTGATCACACAGCAGCAAGTAATTTCCCCACTGAATTGAAGAAAACTATTTCTGAGGGTGGCTATGAGCCACAGCAAGTGTTTAATACTGATGAGACAAGTGTTTTTTGGAAGAAAATGCTAACAAGAACTTGTATCAGTCAGCAGGAAAAAAGTGCACTGAACATATCAATTCCAAGCTGAGGGACTGATTACCTCAAACTCCTCCTTTCCTAACCCATTTCTACTTTGTATTGGACTGCTGAAGCCACTGTGTGGCGAAATGAACGCTTCCTTAATAAAGATTCCCATATGTTGCACAAGTGTCTCAATCTTCAAACTGGACCCTGACAAATCTAGAAGCAGTCTGAAACAGGGTCTAGAACAGCTGATGATGCCTTACCGTCAGCTGTATAATGTACTGCAGGGTAAACAAGCCCAGAGAAGCATTACAGAATTTATCCACACTCCAGTACAACCATCGACTTTAGTACCAGAACCTCAACCATCCACCTCAGCTGACAACCAACAGCCATCCACCTCAGCCCAGTAGGGCCACAGCATCCCTCTCCACTCTCTTCACAAACATTAATAAATACCAACAACCACAATTTTAAGGTAAGAAATATTAATTCTGTAGCATCTGTAGCCTTAAGAAACAGAAAAAAACATATTACATCATAACACTGAACAACAATTATATTAATATTTTTATTTTTGTAAGATTTGTAGACCTGAAAAAAGTTGCTTGGCATTTTTGGAGGTCCAGGAACATAACCCTATTTTTTCCCATCAGTTCTTCAGTTTATGTAACACGGTTTCATCTAACACTGTGTTTTCAGGAACGTAACTACCATGTTACTTGAGAGTTTGCTGTATACTGGCTCCCTTACCTTCGTGTGTTAGTGTGACTAGTTAATGGTCCAAGTCAGACTGAACCATCATGAATGTTTTAGTCCTACTTGCGAGTTATCTGTACTGAACTTTCATTCTTTAAAGCACTAATATTTTTACCTGATCGTCATTCTCATCGGCGAAGGTGATCGCAGTTAGTTTGTATGAGCTTGTTACAAGGTATTCATTAATTAGGAAGTTCAAGGTTCTCTTTTCATGTGGACGGATGGATGACAACGATGCTACAACAGCTGACTGATTCGTTTCTTCCTTTTCAACACATGGAGCAGGTTCTGAAAAATTTAAACAATTTGTATTTGTGACTTATTATTATTACAGCCTCTCCTCATTTAAAGAAGGAGTTCTGTTCCTAAGACCACGTTGGTAAACGAATCTGTCACTAAGTGAGGAGCATACTATAATGGTAGTGAGTTTGTGTCAACCATCTTTGATATTGTTTTAATGTCGCCTTTGCACCATTTATAACCATACCCCGGCCGGGATTGAACCCGCGGTTTGCAATCGTGTCATTACGATTTCGTGAACCATTTATAACATTTCTTTTATATTTTTAAATGTTTATACAGTAGTGTACTGTATATTGTAATAAACAGAATAGAGGAAGTCAGTTCTAATACATTGTTTAGGTATGAATACTGGTCAGAGTGCCAGTCGTAAGTCCGAGGCGTCGGTAAACGAGTACATCGCTAGGTGAGGAGAGGTTGTATAGTGCCTGCACTCTGAAGGAGGGGTGAAGATATGTTGCAGTTTTTGAATGGTAGTAACGACATGCCTCTGGTGAGGCAATAATGGAGTGAGTAATGATGAAAGTGATTCTTCTTTTTTTCAGGTCACCCTACCTCAGTGGGAATGGCCGATGTGTTAAAAAATTTATTACCTACTATTATTTTTTAATTTTTAATGCACCAGCCATCTCCTTTGCAGGTAGGGTGGACCCAGGGAAGAAAACACATTTACCACAATTCATTCAACAGAAATACAAAAATACAAAGTCCTGACCTTTCTTTCAGTGCAGGTACTGTACTTCCCACCTCCAGAAATACAAAGTCCTGACCTTTCTTTCAGTGCAGGTACTGTACTTCCCACCTCCAGAAATACAAAGTCCTGACCTTTCTTTCAGTGCAGGTACTGTACTTCCCACCTCCAGAAATACAAAGTCCTGACCTTTCTTTCAGTGCAGGTACTGTACTTCCCACCTCCAGAAATACAAAGTCCTGACCTTTCTTTCAGTGCAGGTACTGTACTTCCCACCTCCAGAAATACAAAGTCCTGACCTTTCTTTCAGTGCAGGTACTGTACTTCCCACCCCAGAAATACAAAGTCCTGACCTTTCTTTCAGAGTTTACCTGGAGTTTACCTGGAGAGAGTTCCGGGGGTCAACGCCCCCGCGGCCCGGTCTGTGACCAGGCCTCCTGGTGGATCAGAGCCTGATCAACCAGGCTGTTACTGCTGGCTGCACGCAAACCAACGTACGAGCCACAGCCCGGCTGGTCAGGAACCGACTTTAGGTGCTTGTCCAGTGCTTGTCCAGAAATGCAAAATCCTGACATTTCTTTCAGAGTGCAAGCATTGTACTTCTCACCTTCAGAAATACAGAATCCCAACCCTTCCTTCAGCATGCAGGTACAGGTGAGCCCTGTATATACAGCAGGGCCCACCTGCTGAGCCCAAATCTCGAACAAAATTTAAAATGTGGATATAATTTTGCATTATTTGCAGATTCTACTTTCAACAGATCATCCCCCCCACCCTGGCTGCCTTCAAGATGGAGCCTAGTAAGTTACTTGGGTCAGTTTTCAGCCTGGCTGATCACAGCATCTACCATGGAAATAAGTCAAGGGTTATCCTAGATAATTTACACTTTGTATGATAATTGTACATGTTTACCTGTGCGTAAATAAACTTACTGAGACCTGAAGGCCTGGTCTGGGACCAGACCTTTGGGGCACTGACCCCAAATAACACTCCAGGTAGACTCCAAACAGGCACATGGGACCTCTATGAATAAATCCTCGTGGATTTTGGGAATTCTGCTCTATAAATTATTTTGAGGTGAAAATTAAATTCTAGAATTAGTGAATACATAGAGAGGGGTGCACATATAATGCAATTTTCCAATTGTAGTATTGGCATACCTCTGGCAAGATAGTGATGGAGTAAGTGATGATGAAAGTGTTTCTTCTCTTTCGGTTCACCCTACTTCGATGGGAAATGGTCGATGTGCAAAAAAATAATACAGCTATACCTTTACCTCTGATGAGTTCGAGAGTTTTTCTATTCCCGGAGCCCGGCAATGGTCCAGGCTCGTCTGGTGCTAGCCTGGTCAACCAGGCTGTTGCTGCTAGTGGCATGCAGACCTACATACCCATCACAGTCTGGTTGATCTGGCTCATACTAACCTGTTGCTTGTGTGAGGTTAGTTCTCAGTCCCTGTATTGTCTCACGAGCCTTGCGTAGTTCAAACTCGAGGACGGCCACTCGTTCATCCACTGCCCTCTCCCCGTCTTCACTCAGGTGACCCCAGTCCAAAGAATCTAGGGTAGTTTGACTGGAGTATCGTGCTGAAATTTAACAATTCCATTAGTAAAGCATATTTCATTGCCATCTTTCGTTTGGCTGGAGTATCGTGCTGAAATTAAGAAGTCTATTAGCAAAGCAAATTTCATTGCCTTCATGAAAGACTTAACCATAATGCAACATTTTGCTTCGGTTGAAGTATCATAAACACAGGTCCGTGCAATGTGAGAAATCAATTGCAGAGAAATACAAAGCGAAAATAGAAGAAATTGGTATACAGTCTCTCCACACTTAACGACGGAGTTCTGTTCCTGAGACCATTATCATCAAACGAATTCATCACTAAGTGAGGAGCAAACTATGATGGTAGTGAGTTTGTGTCAACCATCTTTGGTATTGTTTTAATGTCACCTTTGCAACACTTATAACACTTCTGTTATATTTTTAAATGTTTATACAGTAGTGTACTGTGTATTAAAATAAACAGAATAGAAGAAATCAGCTCTAATATACATTATTTAGGTATGAATACTGGTCAGAGAGCCAGTCGTAAGTCTGAGGCATCGGCAAACGAGTACATCGCTAAGTGAGGAGAGGCTGCATTTCATCTTCGTATCTGCCTGAGGGAGGAATACACAACTCTCTCTCTAACCCTTAAACTGTCCGAACGTAGATCTACGTTTGCGTGCGCAGCACTCCAGCCTTGATTTTCTCCATAAGAAAGAATGTAAAAAAAAACGTAGATCTACGTTCGGAGCGCTACGCGAGCGAACGTAGATCTACATTTGGACAGATTAAGGGTTCAAATCATACCTGCGCTTCGCAAAATAATTCTCTCCACGTGATCTCTCACTTTTAATCCATGCAAACAACATCTTGGCACTTTTCCTAATTATGGATCCCCCCAAAATTATTTTATTACAGAAAACACAATGCATTGTGCTATATATGGACATTATCAAAATTACATGGGTAATGTAATTTAAAAAATAATAACAAAGATAAGATTATCTTCTCACATGACTGTGAATATATTTATTGACTTATCTTCAACAGCAAGTTATTTGGGTGGGAATATTGACAGATAATGTATGTATGTATGTATGTACGTATGTATGTATGTATGTACGTATGTATGTATGTACGTATGTATGTATGTATGTGTGAATGTATGTATGAGTGAATGTATGTGTGTGTGAAAGTATGTATGACTGTATGTGTGAATGTATGTATGTATGAAAGTATGTGCGAATGTATGTGTGAATATATGTATGTATGTGTGAATGTATGTATGTGTGAATGTATGTATGACTGTATGTGTGAATGTATGTATGTGTGAATGTATGTATGTGTGAATGTATGTGTGAATATATGTATGTGTGAATGTATGTATGTGTGAATGTATGTATGTGTGAATGTATGTGTGAATATATGTATGTGTGAATGTATGTATGTGTGAATGTATGTATGTGTGAATGTATGTATGTGTGAATGTATGTGTGAATATATGTATGTGTGAATGTATGTGTGAATGTATGTGTGAATGTATGTGTGAATGTATGTGTGAATGTATGTGTGAATGTATGTGTGAATGTATGTGTGACTGTATGTGTGAATGTATGTGTGAATGTATGTGAATATATGTATGTGTGAATGTATGTGTGAATGTATGTGTGAATGTATGTGTGAATGTATGTGTGAATGTATGTGTGAATGTATGTGTGAATGTATGTGAATATATGTATGTGTGAATGTATGTGTGAATGTATGTGAATATATGTATGTGTGAATGTATGTGTGAATGTATGTGAATATATGTATGTGTGAATGTATGTGTGAATGTATGTGAATATATGTATGTGTGAATGTATGTGTGAATGTATGTGAATATGTAATTTTGAATGTATGTGTGAATTATGTGAAAATATGTATTTGAATGTATGGTGAATGTATGGAATAATGTATGTTGAATGTAAAGTGTAATGTATGTGTGAATGATTGTTGAATGTATGTGTAATGAAAGTGTGAATGTATGTGTGAATGTATGTGTGAATGTATGTGTGAATGTATGTGTGAATGTATGTGTGAATGTATGTGTGAATGTATGTGTGAATGTATGTGTGACTGTATGTGTGAATGTATGTGTGAATGTATGTGTGAAGATGTTGAAAGTAAGTGGGAAAGTATGTGTGAATGATGTGGAATGTAGTGTGAATGATGTGTGAATGTATGTGAATATATGTAAGTTGAATGTATGTGTGAATGTAGTGTGAATGTATGGAAATATATGTATGTGTGAATGTAGTGAATATATGATGTGTGAATGTATGTGTGAATGTATGTGAATATATTATGTTGAATGTAGTGTGAATGTATTGTGAATGTATTAATAATATGATGTGTGAATGTATGTTTTGAAATGTATTTTTGTGAAAGTATGTGTGAATGTATGTGAAATATAGTGAATGATGGGAAAGTATGGAAAGTGTGAAAATGTGTGAATGTATTGAAATAATATTATTTAATGTATGTGTAATGTATTATGTGTAATGTATGTAAATTTTGGTGAATGTAAGTGTAATGTATTGTAATGTATTGTAATTATGTGTGAATGTATGTGTAATGGTATGGTGAATATTATATGTATGTGAGATTATGTAGAAGTATGTAATGTAAAGAATGTATGTGTGAATTAATGTGAAATTTTTAATGTGTTAGAATGTTGTGGAAAGTATGTGAAAGTAAAATAGATGTGTGAATGTAGTGTTAAGTATGTTAAGTATGTGTAATGTTTGGAAAGATAATATATGTATTGTGAATAATGTGTGAATGTATGGTGATAAGTATGTGGAATGATTGAAGTATTGTATGTAAGTGATATATGTATGGTAATGTATTGGAATGATGTGTTATGTAAAGTGTGAATAAGAAATATGTAGGTTGAAATTTAAAGGTGAATGTATGTGTGAATGATTTGTGAAAGAAGGTGATGATGAATATATCATACATGGAAAAATAAATAGTGCCTGAAAGTTTAATATGTGAAGTATGTGTCATATTTACCAAAAATTAAAAAAATGATTACATATATTTACATAGTGAATATAAGATTATATTAATTATTACATTATCCAATATTTAATGTCAATTTTAAAATTTAAATTATCCGGACAAGATATTGACAATATGACACGTGCAGATGTGTCCTACATATATTACATATTTGCCCTACAAGAAAAACAATATTATAAGAAAGGTAATTATTTGACATGATAGTTGACTATGGTGAATTATATGAATAATAGTAAATCGAATGTATATGGGAAAGGTATCATAAGTGTAATTAACAGTAAGATGATTATACATTTTTTGAATGATATTTACATTATGTTAAAGATAAGAATATATTATTATACATAATAGATGTAAGTATTTAATGTAATAAATAGGATTTAAATTATTGAATTATGATGGGAAAGTATTTAATTATTGACATTTTATAATGTATAGTGATGTATTGGAAGATTTATTATTGTTACATATACCATACATATATCCTACATTATCAGACAATATCAGTAATCCTACATAGATCTATACATAAAGTTTCCTAATTAGCATGACAGAGTCCTACATTAAACCATACAATGACCACATATCCACACATACATATATCCATACAGATATCCAAATATATCCATACATATATCCATCAATTCCAATACATATGATCAGTACAGATATTTCCCTACATATAACCATACAGATATCCAGAAAATGATATCCATACATTGATCCAACATATACCATACATATATCCATACATATATCCATACATATATCATACATATTACCAGACAGATAGCTCAAATTTAATATATCATAAAAAAGATATCCATACATATATCCATACATTATTCCATACCCTATATCCATACATATATCCATACAATATCCATAATTATATCCATAATGATCCCGATACATAGTATCCGACATATATCCATACATATATCCTACATATATCCATAAATTTTCCTCAATACATAAACCATACAGATATCCTACATAATCCATATATATCAATCTATAGTCCAACATATATCCATACATATATCCAGACATAATATTCATATAGCATAGATCCTACATAGAAACCATAAAACAATCATATTAATTTCATGTATCCATACATATATCCATACTATTACCATACATATATCCAGTACTTATTCCATACATATATCCATACATATCCAAACATACATTTTATCCATAATATATCCTACATATATCCATACATATATCCATACATATATCCAGACTATATCTACATAATCTGACATATATCCATACATATATTACAATACAGAAAAACCATAATATGAATCAAAATCATATAGTCCATACATTAGCCATACATATTTTCCATACTAATATCCATACATATATCCATACATATATCCTTCAATATCCATACATTTTTTATCCATACATTATCCATTTCTTAATTTCCATACATATATCCATACATTATCCATACATATATCTACAATACCTGATATCCAATACATATATCCATACATATATCATACATTTGTATCAAATACCATACATATATTACATATATCCTTACATATTCCAACATTCCACACATACATATATCCATACATAGTATCCTGACATTTTATCCATACATATTTAAAATACATAGTAAACATATACATAAAATGCCATACATTTTATCCATACATATATCCAGACAATAACCATAATAATCCATAATATATCCATACATATATCCATACATATATCCATACATATACAATCTATTCCAAAGTATACATATATATATACATATATCCATACATATATCCATACATATATCCATACATTTTTCCAACTGATATCAATACATATATGTCCATACATATATGCCATAACCCAATATCCATACATATATCCATAAATAATACATATATCCAATACATATAGCCAAAAATATTCCACAATACATATATCCATACATATAACATACATATATCATACATGACCCATATCCAACAGATTACATAAATATCCATACAAATACATACAATATCCAAATACATATACCAACATATATCCAAAATATATCCATACTAGATCCATACATATTATAGGTCCAATATAGAATATCCTAAATAATCCATACATTACCATCAATATAGCACAATATAGTCCATGAATATTCCATACATATATCCATACATAAACCAATCAAAAGATCCTAAAGATTCCATAAATATCCACACAAAAACAAGAACCAAAAAGATCCATTTTAAGAAAAATCATAACAACAAAACAATACCATAAAATAGTACATAACCCAACAAACCTACAATACAAATAATCATAGCAATATACCATATAATAAACATAATACGAATAAAAATGATATCCCTACTAACCAACAACAACACATCCCCCAAACAACAAATCAATGTAAACCAACAAACCATACTAACATACAACCAACATAAACCCCCCAAAATCACATACAAACCCAACTACTTCCCCCCAAAAAATATACCAACAAACACAACAAAACCCCTAACAAAACCAAACAATACCATAAAAACCATCATATATCATACCCTTTTCACAACCCAAATCACAACAACCACCCCAACAAACCACACAAACCAACTAACCAAATATACCATACACTAAAAAACTTTACAATTTAAAAAATATTTTTAAAAAAAATTTTTAAATAATGGAAAAAAAAATTAGAAAAATTTTTTTAAATATTTTTAATTTATTTTTTTTAAATGGGGAAATTTTTAAAAAATTTATAAATTATTAAAATTTAAAAAAAAATAATAATTTAAATAAAAAAACCCTTCAATATAAATATTTTTATTATAAAAATCCTCTTAAAATTTAAAAATTTTTCCCCAAATTTTTAATTAAATAAAAAATAAAAAAATATTTAAAAGAAAAAAAAAAGCCGAGACCCCCCCCCAAAAAAAAAAGGGGGTTTAAAATTTAAAAAAAAATTTTCCTTTTTGGGGAAAAATTTTAAATGAAGAAAAAATATTTAAAAAAAAAAATTTGAATATTTAAATAAAAAAAAAAAAAAAAAAATAAACCAAAAAAAAAAAAAAAAAAAAAAAAAAAAATAAAAAAAA